GTTGCGAAAACGGGTTACTACATAGATGAGGTGAGCCACGCGGTTGCGCCTCTGTGACTCTTCAGACGAGGCTTAGGCTCAGAGTGTAGATTATAAGAGTCACCAGGGGTGGCTCCAGACAGTCTCCACGCGACTTTGACTATCTCGCTCTCAGCCTTAGAGTGCAAGGATTCCTCACAAAGGATAGTGATGTACGCAGTTATTTTTGAAATGTTGTAAACAGGAAGATGTTGTTCAACAGTCAGTCCAGGTGTTATTCTCGGCCATGCGGGCTGTACGCAGTACTTACTATGGTGAAGCTGAATAATTTTGTGTGTGTCAATGCTCTGGTGATCTTCTTCACGTAAAAGGAACCACAATCGCTCGACATGGGCGGAGCTGGTCCAAGTTTCATCGCAAGTATTGGTTAGGAAGGAACGCAAAGGTCTGCCAGGTGGGTCAGCTCAACTGCGTTAGCGCCGAAAACTGCTCGACGCAGACAGCATGTGAACTGTAAGAAGGTACTTGAACGGAGATAGGATCAGCGATCAGAGGGCGTAAAGGTCTAAGGGGAGGGGGGAGATGTGAGATTAAGATTTGTGGAAAAACTGATTACGTCGCATGGAAGGACAACTAACTAACACTGTAGACCACTCGGCAACCATATGGGGATGAGGCCCGCAACGGGATTTACTATACCAAAAAGCAGGACTGGAATGATACGGACCCTTCACAGTCTGGTCTTTCAACCTCCGAAAATTTCCCTCCACAGTCCGATCTCCTTCCCTCATAGACTTCGACGTGGAAGACGAAGAGGAATACGGATTGTCAAACAACAGAGAACCTTGCTGCGATAGAATTGAACTGAAACGAATGGTACAACAGAATTCAGCTGGAACGAGTGGTACGATGGAAGTGAGTGACGAGGGAGCTGCAGCCGTAATAGTTCAAGCTCTGATATCTACTCACAATCAGTAGGACCGCCCACCTTACAAACGTCCTCTTTACGGTCAGCGCAAAGGCGCTAATTGTTGTTTGGTAAAGCGGCGGGCAGGTCTGAACCCGAATTGCATGTCCATTCCTGCTGACAGCCCTCTGCCTCACGAGTAATTTGGATTCTTTTATTACTTTTTTCATTGCGAGCGCATGCAGTGAAAAGCAGTCCATCCACTAACGTAATTTCAGTGGTGCGACAGTTCGTCAGGTAGCCTGTTTTCCCAGATCCCAATTTTGCACAAGAAGCGTTCACTATTTTCTGCCATGGGTTTCGCTTCTGTACCAATGTTTTTCGTTTTTTTTTCCACTGTTAGGTAGTATTTAGCTCTGAATGAAGTGAAGAAATGATTAGTAAGCCAGAGGGGGTTTCTGAAAATCCCTATGGCCCAGTTAGAGATTGAAGATAGAGTGCATAACATACCCAAAAAGATCTTTCTCCAAATCCGTCAGCACCACATTGTTCTCTTCTTCACAAAACGTCGCGGACAATTCAACCACCTGGAGCTTTTGCTGAAACGTTTCAAGTCCGAGAATTATCGGGAAACAAAGATCCAGAAGAATACTCAAAAGAAGACAAACATCTGCCATCAACTAACCCTAGTCTCTTCAGGGATCCTGGATAAAATTTCGGAGACATCATAGCCAGCACCACGCGAGGAATCGGTCATTTTGTCAGCTTCATCAATGATAAGAAGCTGCAGTTCTGACAAATTCAACTAAAATCAAAATATAAACATGAAAATATTAACCTCACAAAGATTACATGTGTGACATACCTTTCCAAAATCAGTAGCTTTCAATACTCCGCCACATGTAGCAATAACGATTTCGTGGTCTATTGTTGTGCTGTGTCTGTGTATAAGAGACATACCGTAACCACCACTAAAGAGGTCTAATATCCGCACTTGAGTCCGCGATACTAAAAAACGCAGGATACTGCTAAAGTTCTGAAGCGAGATCTTCCTCTCACAGCTCAGGGCAACCC